TGCGACTTTTAGCATTTACCAGTCTTTCAAAACTTTTATCTAATATTCTTCTGCTTTAATTTTAGCTAGCCTTTTGAGACTTTTAGCTTTGTGCTAATATTTAGCTGCTTTTTGTTCCCAACAGCCTTTTAACGTTTGTCTTTTTAGTTAGCATTCTGTTACTTTTAGTTTTGAGCCGATCTTTTGCTTCGTCTAAACAGCACATTTGCTAGATTTAGCTACGTTTAGTAAAAGTTTAACTTGTTTTTTAGCTCGTGTTTAGCGTCTAAATGTAGCATCTATGAACTTTTAGCCACTATTTTGCTTCTTTGATCTTTTATATCCCATTCTGCTGGTTTAGAGTTTATTTAGAGCCTTTTGCTACATTTAGTTTTCAGCTAGCCTTATGTTTTAGCTTTTAGCTTGTGTTCTGCTTCTTTAACAGCTCCGTTTCAGCTTCTTCAGCTTCTTCGGCTTCTTCAGCTTCTTCAGCGCTCACTCTGCAGTTTCTTTAGTTCAGCTCATGTTTACTGGAAACAGCAGGAAGTCTTGTTCACCAGATCAGAGCTGGAAGCGTTTGGGTCTGGAGGTTTTCCCTCATCAGCCCCCCCCCCCCCCCACACACACACACACATCTGTTTGATTGACAGCTACAGCTGGAAGGTTCAAAGTGTGTGAAATATTCACGAGTGTCTGAGAGGAGACTCCACAGAGGACAGAGGTGGACACATCTGTGATGTCATCACCTGCGTCCAGCTGGGCCTGGTGGTTCCCTCCATCACTTCTTGTTTGTTGTTGACAGGAACCGTAGAAGGGACAGTGGAGCAGGTCGGGTCCAGTTGAGGTGCAGAACCGGGTTTCTGCAGAAATCAGTCGAGAAGGAACCCTGAAGAACACCTGAGCAGAAATCACCTGGACTCAACCTGAGATGATCCGAATCCTTGAGCGAGACGATTCAGCTGTTTGATATTTTTTAATAAATTGTATCAAATATTGTTTTCGTCACCAGCCGTCGAAAACTGAAGGCGAAATGTATTTCCTCTGTCTGTAGTGTTAGCAAAATATCTCATCTCCAGTTGGGTTGAAGTTCTCAAAGTGAATACATCTATGACCTAATGAAGTTTTGGAGTTGGAGTGAACTAAATTCAAGATGGCCGCCACC